AAGCTTTACTACTTTATAGCTTAGCTTTATACTTTATTAAATAGAATTTTCCATGAAAATTTAAATTGGAAACAACCTTTTATAAGAGATCAAATAATAATGTAACATAGATATGTTTATAGGTATAGATAGGGTGGTATTAATTTTACAACGGAACATCAGCTCAGTGGATGAAGGTTTCATCATATTGAAAAAAGTGAAACTTTGAGTTTAAAAAATGGATAAAATTTAATCTTTTTCTTCTAGGTCATTAAATTAAGCTGATTCACTAAAACGCCACTTTAAACCTTTATCCACTAAGCTCTCCATTTATGAGGTAGTGATAAGCACAAACTTAAAACATTTTATTTCAATCTTGAAGTCTTCTTATCAAAGTAGTTAAATACTTATCGTTAAAGAGCATCTACATTAGTCGAAAAAATGGTTTAAAAGTGTACCATCATATTTTTATTTTAAACCATAATAGAGATTTTGTATTCTTCTTTTATCAGTAATTCTTATGATTTCATTATGAAAAAATATTAAGTCAAATGTATTTTCTTTTTGAGACTAATAACAAGTGTATATTGTTTATCAGTAGTGGCAGTGAAAGCATTGCAAATGTTCTAAAGGAACAACTTATTTTAAAAGTCTAAATATTTACTAGGAGTTTTAGCATATGTATTCATATTGATATGCAATCTATTTTAGAAGTAAGTTATTTATATCAGTTGCATCGTAAGCAAATGATACCTTTTAAAATTTACTTTAAGAAATAGGCGAAATTCTTTCTTTATTCTAATTTTTTAATTCGTGAATTATTTTACAATTCGTTATTCTCCCTTCGTTGTTAATTAATTGGAAATTAAATAGTAAAATCACTTTGCATTAGGAACGAAAGAAGCAATTATATGTTTATTCTTCATGAACGTTTAAAGTGTAGGAAAAAAGTATAATTAATATATTTTTCTGAAATAAATCTTTTTTACGTAAATAAATAGCTTGTTTTAATATTTGTATTATTACAAAAATAATAATTGTGTAATTGTAAATAATAGTTAAAAAATATTAATAATAGTGTCATGAAATGAAATGAATAATCCAAGGACAACTTAAACGACAATTTTGCTTGGAAATGAAAAAAAAGCAAAAAAAAAAAAAAAAAAAAAAAAAAAAAAAAAAAAAAAAAAAAGAAAGAAAAAAGAAAGAAAACGAACAATATATTTAGCTTTGAGGTTGAAATTAAAGAAAATTCGACAGGAAGACACCTCCTATGTGAATTATTTACGAAGTATTTAATTTTCAAGTGTAATTTTATAAATTGGTAATAAGTCCATTAAGATACTAACGCACTTTTAATGTATTTTTCACAATTGATACAAGTAGATAAAAAAAGATTTTTTTTAAAATGATGATTCAGAGAAAAGACGCTAACTGTTATAGCTAATTACCAATACTTTCGAAAACTCTCACCTTGTGAAACTACTTTGAGGTAAAGTTAAACTACATATTTCAAAAAGTGAAATTTAATTTGAAATTCGGTGGGAAGTGCTAGAACCCAGGATATATTGCTGTAACAAAGACTCTTAAAATTACTCATTCATTTATTATGGCAATGTATCAATGTATGTATTCATTATATGTGGTAACATTGAAGAAAATTTTGAATATTGTATATTCCCTTTTAATTTCCCAGTTTCATTAACGGGTAAAACATTCAAGTAACAACCTATTGTGGGTCAAGAGTTAAGAGGGGGTACATGGAATATCACAATGTCGAGATCAACGGCATGATGACAATAACATGGTCAGCATAACACACACCGATCTTTTTCTTTCCCAACAAGTCTATCGATTTGAAGCTTCATGCCGCCATGGAGGATAAAACCTGGGTCCCTCACAATGGCAGTTCAGTAATGGAAAGCTAATTTGATGTCGTAAATGTTGGTTGTGCTTTTAAAACATTATACATTTCTCTTAACTCATGGAAAATTTGTTAAACTTAAAGTAAGGGAGGAATTAAAATTTAAAGTTAAATTTGATAAGGAATGTCGCGATTTTCAGACTAGAAATATTAGAGTAAGAGTAGTTTAAATTTTTTCTTTAATTTTTACATTTTCCATAAAAATCTATTCAGTATTTTAGATTTTTCACAATACTGATAATCATTTATTGTAAAATTGAGAGTTGAATGTAGATATTTTTATGTTTAAATAATTTATTAATTTATTGAGCTTAGATTAAATTTTAATTTTATCAATTGCTTTTATATTTTTTAATTAAATAAGGTAAATCATAAGAGGAAGAATTCTGAGCAGATAACTTAATAAACAATAATATGAAGATGTTTGACATCTTACCGGTTAAAACATAAGCAGAATGATGTAAGACCCTTTTCTTCTATTTTCCCTTTCTATATCCATATCTACTATCAAAATAAATTTTTACAGAATTATAATAAATAATTTAAGTGTTTTCTGCAATTCCGAAATGTTTTCCCATTATCTTAGATGAATGATAAATAAGTTTAATCGAGTTTTATCATTTTTTCTTTTAGAAAAACAATGCCAAAGATCTAATATATCATTCCAAAACAATGACAATGATATAAAAGTTTCATTTATAAGAAAAACTTTCAATTGAATATAGTTTGCAATAAATAACACTAGATAAATCAGAAACTTTAAAATTAAAATATTTTTGATTGTACAGAAAATTTTGAAAGCTTTTATAACAATGGAAAAAAGTGAGTTAATTTTTTTTAATTCATATGATCATTCTTCTTTATTCATAAACACTAGGATTTCATTAAAACAATACCTTGCCATTCAAAATTAAAAACAATTTGTTTTTTTCTATATGAATGTTATATTAGCCAAAATGGATAGGTAAAGAACGTTGAGCCTTTGGCCTCCTATACACAGGACTGAATTAGTTTCACATATTTTTCTCTCAAAAAAACCGAATTCCAATATTCAAAATATTACTTTTCCCTTCATTGTAATTAGAAGTTGAAAAATTATCATAGGAATATCTATTTAATTGTCACAAGTAAGAATTATAGGATTCATAATGTTAAGAGATACATATTCTGTTAAGAACGTAAAATTAACAAAAAGACAAGCATTTTATCTATATTACACTTTCGTTTTCTTTAGTCTATCGAATAAATCATGTTGTATGTATTGAAAAGAAGTACATAATTTTGATTACAGTAATATAAGGAGATGAAACAGCAATGGATTAATATTGAATCTCTTTTTCTATTTTGCGTCACGTGTAATAAAGAAAAGATATTGTTAAAGTATCGCAGATAATCGAACTTGAATATTGAGTCCTAATTTAATGAAATCTTGCGTGCAGACTAGGTTTTTTTTTCCTCAAAAAATGGTCCGTTTAGTTTCAAAACCTATATGAAACATTGCTGCAACGAGCCTAATTTGAATTTAATAACAATTTCTTTAATAATATTTATGAGAATTTTTTTCATTGAAGTCATCAGTCATGAAGTTTTGATGTTTCCTAAAAAACGCATATTTTTGAAAGAGTTTAAAAACCACCTTTATTTAAAAATAGTGAATAGATAAGCAATGAAGGGTAACAATGTGAGAATCCTGATTAATCTTGTCATGAATCACACATCCAGTAATTCCTGACAAGACAAATCAGAAATCCAGTTGAACCACGGAACCATAAGGTGGTAATGAAAGAATAACAAAATTGTGGGTGGTCATTGTAATGGCTCCAAGAAGATATTTGAGGGCGAAGAGTTCAGTTTACATTCCGTTGCTCACATGATTGTTCGCATACTTTTGAATCAAATGTTTAGAAATCGTGTGTCCAATATACTCTCATTTTTAATGGGGCATTCATTTTCACAGATCGTTAAGTATGAAGAAACACGAAGGTCTTTCCATAGACAAGTAAAAAAAATTAACAAGTCGAAAAGGGCATAAAAAGTTTTTCTTGTGTTGCCACGTCCCTGGTAAGTCAAAAAATAACTGAAAAAGGAGCAAACTTAAATAAAAATAAAAATTTTTGTGAGCTTTTTTTAAAAATCTTCAGTGTAATTAAAAAGCAATTCCACTCACAATTTCCTACTCTTTCATTGTCACCTTATGACCTCATAGTCTAACCTCATGGTCCTGGAGTTATTTATGACGAGACTAATCAGGAATCTCAAGTTTTAACTTTTAATTGTAATTCTATACATTATTTTTGAACTGAATACTTTTTTAATACATTATCTTGCTCTTTTTTTGTGCATATTTGTGATAAATTCGACCAATAACGGGTTTAATTAGTTTCTAAATTCTTATTTTGGTCCCTATGATCTTATTGTAAGCGAGTTTGACAACTCACAATAATTGTTATATCAATTCATCGCATGCTCTATATCAATAACAAAAAAAAAATGAAATTTTTTTTTATAATGCCTGAAATATGTGATGTAACTTTACCTTAAAGAAATGAACATTATCAACAAACATACCCCTTTTTCAGAATTAACATTGAGTTACGTTTTATATAGTATTGTTCCACAAATTTGCTTAGCTCAAGTAAATTTGATATTGTTAGCGATAAACGCATAATATCATTCTTTATTTATGTTGCCTTTTTAAATTCTATTATGGTGACTAGGTTGATTGGGTGAGTTCCAATTTCGTATTACAAAATATTTATTTATAAGGAATAAATCAATTTAAACAATTATTTTTTACTGTAGCTGTGCTCTATTTTTTAAATCACTGGTAGCTGAACTGCTTTTATATATAAAAGGAAGTTTAAATATTAAATCGAGAAAATCAAGACAACCTTTCAACTCTTGTTTCCAGAATATAACTCTACTAACTGTACAATTTTTTTTTTACATTTCAGAATATTTTGTAGTTGCTAAGTCTGCTTGGGACCCATATCTCATAAATTATTCTTTTTTTTTTTTGAAGCACCGAAGTTCGTTCTCTTTCAAAATGAAGCGATCTTGGAAGACGAGGTTCCCTTCTGAAGCTTGACAGTCCAATTTAGCCTTTCCTCGTGGAATGGCAAGTGGGCGTTGTACTTGACCATCTGCCATCTTCCAGACATCGAAGCATTTTGGCCCCTCTAAGTTCGAAACCATCCTTACAGTCGTAAGTTACAGTATCGTTGATGCGATAGAAGAATTGAACATTCTGCGAGATAGTGGCATCAGGTGTGATTCCTGGATACTGACAAGCCGCAACACCTAAAACAATGGAATATTATTTTAGCTGTGGTTCTACATTAAAAAAAATTCGTCAATAAAAGCAGGTAAGTTTGAAAATAGTTTGAGTTAGTGGATTTGATAAAGCATAAGAAATATAGAGTTGTTGGCATCGAGTATTGGGATTGCATAAATTTTATGTATCCCAAAGCCAAAAACGCTGGATTACATTGCAAAAAAATTCGAATCAAATTTATGGTGAAAAGTACCGGCACTCAAGGTGGCGGTATTTTTTACCGTAACATCTATTTTTACCGGAGCATATTACGTAACAAAAAACTGATATATCGTAATTTTTATAATAGTAATTGCAGTAAAATCACTGAATCACTCTAATCAAATAAATATTATTGCAAAAATTGCAGTAAAATATTTTGTGGTAAAACTGGATCCGGAATTTTATTCAGTGTACTTCATTACTGCGTTGAATGAAACACGCTTTTGAACGTATTGGCGGAACTGGATTACTATTTGGATGTGCGCCGAGTGAAAGTAAAAGCTGACATGAAACATCTTGTAGTATGTTCATGTGCGCACACTTTGTAAGTGTATGTTTATTTCTACGCATGTACCGCTTTTTTTACATGGTATGTTTGCTAGTGCTTTCTACGTATATCCTGTATTTGTGTGTACTGCGTAGTATACTTGTACATAAGCAGTCCTTTGAAGATGCAGGAATCATTTAGGGCAACTCTGGTTTACTATTATGTTTTTTTTGCTCGTGCAAGTAATAATACGCACCTTGTCTTCATGTTTTTATAGAAGTTTTATATGTGAAATAAAAAATTATCGAATCAAACTTTATTGCAAAAATTATTCTATTTGCTTACTAATAGATTAACAAAACAATCAAATAAATTTTTTTCTCTTACTCTTAAATTCTGGAAAAAAATAAGGCACTCCCTGAACAGCCAGTAGTTTGACAAGAGGACCACATTCTTATTTAGAAATTTATAACTGCCCAGCTATTTCAAATAAAAAAGTTTAGAAATTTTTATTATTTAAAAACATTTACTTTACCATCTCCTAGAGTTCAGGTGTTTTATTTAAGTTTTAAGGAAAATGTAATAGTTTTTCGCGATTTCAATGCAAGTGCTAAAATGCAACTAAGCACTGTAAAATTATATTTAGTATTTAAATGTAAATACTTCAAAACATTCGTTCTAATGTGCTGCTTCGATAGATGAAATACTCACTTTTCAATGATTGGTCAAGTATTTATGTTCAGAAAATTTAGTTAAATTGTCTAGAAGCTTTTAATTAATGATTATACAATTAATAGATAATTAGTAAATATACAATTAACAAATAATTAATAAATATACTGTTAACAAATAATTAAAATTATCAGGGGATCGATTCGGGGACTTTCAAAAAAGAGAAAAGTGTTTGGTCTTAAAGAAATTTTTTTCAGAAAACATGGGCTGTGCTTACATTTTGGTACAGATGACGACCATCTACCATTTTCTTGACATACCATGATGCCTGTACCATCCATCATGTAGTTGGTTTCGCAAGCAAAGTTCAAAACATCTCCTCCTCTGTATTTGTCTTTATTACTACTTTGTAGGTAACCATTCTTCGGATTTTCCGGAGGATCACAGATTACCTCTAAAACATTATGCATTAATTTCGAAACAGTGTGCAAAAAAGAGCAAAAAAAATGAAAGTAAATAAATAAACGGACTATTTTAAATAACTATTGATCTAGCACTCAATCTTGATGATTCGAGAGGGAGATTACACGCTTGCTAATTAATAAGTATAGATGATATTTTAGGATACGAAATCAGACACAAAATTTACTTTCTCCGAATAAATATACCATCCATTTTAAAAAAGTCGTATGACTGAAATTCGATTTCTGAATAACTATTCAACCAATTTTGTACAAATTTTGTATTTTGCTATGTAAAATTACACCGAAGAGTCATTACATTATGACCACAATGGGCTCACCCAGGTATTCATGGTTTCTCTCCCAGGAACAATGTTTTCATGGGGCACATTAGGACCCATAATCCTCATAGAACAATCCCTGACGTCTGTAAGCTACTTGAACATAGTTGCAGACCAGGTTCCCCCATTCATGGAAACAGTTTTTCCTGCGGGGGATGGTGTTGACCAACAGGATAATGCACCATGTCATAAGGATCGAATCGTCGAGGAACATTCCAGTGACTTTCAAGTCATGTCTTGGCCCCCAAATTCACCTGACCTTAATCCAATAGAGCATTTGTGGTCTTACTTGGAAAACCAAATTCGTGCTGCCAAGCTACCCCTTCTCAATGTGAGGGAATTGCAGGACCAGTTGGTGTGCGCTTGGTACCAGATACCTCCGACTATCTATCAGCGCCTTGTGGAATCAATGCCACGGCCGGTGCTAGCAGTTTTGAGGGCTAAAGGTGGCCCTACATGTTATCAGCAGGGTGGTCATAATGTAATGGCTCTTCGGTGTACATTCTTCAAAATGATGTAAAACATTGTTTACCTTGCAATTCATAATTTTTTGACTGTTATTAGAGAAAATAATAAAAAAATAATAAATATTTACTGGAAGTTATTTTTTTCATGGAATTATCTTTGGATAAATGAATTTTATAAAATAAAATATATGTTTATAAAATAAAAAGCAAAAATTTTCCAATTAGTTTAAAAAATTCTTCAGATATGGGCAGTAAGGGGTTCCAACTTTGTATCGCTCTTCTAGCCAAACTATTGGGACCATATTTTCCAGATTACGGGCACCCCCCAAATTTTAGGTGTCAGAAATCCGAATTCACCAAGAAAAAGGGTATGTTTATTCAGAGAAAGTGCGTTTTTGTGTCTGATTTCACACTTAAAATATCGTGTGTACTAATTACTTAGATTTGAGGTCAGCCCCTCAAATCATTTAGATTGAGTCCTAGAACGTGAAGATTCGACTCTTAAAATAAAAGTTATTCAGGGTAGTGTTTTTTTTTGCACACTGTACATTAAAAAATATTAGAGCATGTTAAGTTATAATATTGTTCAAACTGAGTGGAACCATAATAAGGTGCTAAAATGAACCATATTTTCGAACAAATGATTCTTTTTCTCACTTTTTTTATAGCTGAAAAAAAAAACAGGGTTTCCGCACTTGATTAAGATTGTTGCAAATTCACATGACTTTATATGGTTTAATTTTAAGCCAATTCTTCTAAGAGAGCAGTTTTTATAAATGCATAAGTTTGAATTTAAATATAAAATGTAGATAACATTTCAGTTGATTCTTCGAGAAAGCTAGGAATCTTCGTTTATCTAAGAATAGCGGAAAATTTCAAACACAAGTGTTTGACAGATTTCTTTAAAAATTCATATTGATATAAGAAAATTTCCAGATTGCTATCTTTTATTCATATTTTGCAAGCAGCTTATTCTGTCAAGGTTAAACATAGATACGAAAAACTCTTACGTTTCTTTTTAAAAAGGATTTTTTTTATATGTTCGACCATAAAATGCACAGAATGTTTTATTTTTTGAGGTTTGAGATTAAATTATAAATTATATAAATCGTTGTTGAAATTCTAATTGTTAAATTCTTAAGCTTAATCCACATTTTTCTCATTAAGTGATGATAACATATAATACGTAGACTCAACAAATATACAACATACAAATATATGATTTTGAATAGGAGGAGAAAACAAATTTTCATGTAGACAAAATATTTTAGAGATATTCGATAAATTCGCGATTTCAACAGGAAGAAAGCAATTTCTGATGCAGACAAGACAGTTAGTCTGTTACAGACAGATGGCAAGTAGGTGCTTTGTAAGAAGTAAAAACAACTGTTTGATACACGTAAGGCGTTCCGTAAAGAGATCCTTTTTAATATGCATTTTTAAAATTCCTATAAGAAATGAAAACAAAAAAGTATATACGTCAGAGGGAGCATACTAACATTTTACAGTGGGAAAAGTAAAAAGAATTCAGAAATCTGACAAATCACGGAACAGGAAGTTGAAATAAGCAAACCACAAGACAGGTTTGATTGCTGGAGGAAACAGCGAGGAATTGAAAGCCATTATATTAGAAGCATCTTCAAGTTTCAACCATCAATTAAACCTACTTTGTTGTTGTTAACATCTAGGTCGTCTACTGTAATTGATCAGGTTTCAATATCGTTTTTGTTTTCTTCTCGGTTATATATTGATTTGCGATTCCCAATGTGTATACTGTTTTGGCCTTTATAAGAAAACTTGTAACAGAAAGACGTTAATAGGTGCTTTTTAAAGAAGTGAAAATACCCTCTGATGCGCTACCATTTTTTCAGACTTGTTGTCCTCCCTCCAGGCCCTGGCTGACCCAGAACCAATTTCAAAACTGATTGAAAATATTAAAACATATTGGCACAGAGGTATTACAATGAATTGGGTTAAAGCCCACGTGGGGATCCAGTGCAATGAGGAGGCCGACGAAGCAGCTAAGGAGGCCATTGGCTCCGAGATTATAGATCTCCAAGTTCTGAGGATCCCTAGGCAAGCAAAGACCGAAATCAAGCGGATTCTAATGGCAAGGTGGCAGTACAATTGGTACAATTCTAATAAGGGCCGGCAGACTTTTAAGTTTATNTTTAATGTATTCCATTGTATTTGGCGTATGGGCCTATTGGCCTAGGCCGCTGTAAAACTTTCAAATACCCTCTTATGCAGTCCTAATACACTGACTCTGTCTCACAGAGACATGAAATCTGTTTCTTTTACAGGAAGAGAAAATAACTTCTGTAACAAAACGGTCATAGCGTACTGTGGAAATTTCTCATCATCTGATATTATCTCACCCCATTCAACTTTTAAAAAACAAAAATTCAGTCATGGCTTTAACCCCTTAACGATCGGTTAATTTTCAAGAAAACGGTCATAAAAGTGCCTATTTTGCCAACTACACGTATTTGATTAGTGCTGACATCTAGTTCAAAATAAACTAACTATCTACTATTACCATAAAAATATCCCGGTACTGCCATCTGGTGTGCAAAATGAGAAATAAAATGTTTTCCGGGCAAAAGAAATGAATTAGTTTTATTCTTATTTCCGCGTTACTACTGAACACTCCAGCCCGGAAATTTCACGGGAGAGAGAAATAGAGGGAGAAACTTCACCCCGTCATTTTCCCGGGAGCGAAAAGGAAGGGGTTAACGTTGAAAAAAGAAAAAAACTATTGGCATTCTTTTTTCGGAGACGTCGGCTCAATGTAAACAACAGTTAATTGTCTGATGGGGAAGTTTAAGATCTGCTACGAAAGTTATTTGTCATAGTCCACGGTAAATGCGAAATAATTTCTCCAAAATTAAAGAAATCGAATGAGACCGTCAAAAATGTGCTTTGCATATTTAATGGCTTCTAAAGTATTTGATTTCTCACTAAGTATGTCTGGATAGCATAAGTCTATATTTTAGCAAATGGGCAAGTTACGATTTACAGTTTCTTTTTATTTTTTCATCAAAATTAAAAATACTTTTTTAATTGCTGATTAAAATTAAAACACAAAACATTGAAAAACAAGTAGATATAAATGTAGATGTTATAATATTGGGAAATAGAGATTTCCAATCGATAAAAAAGACGGTATTTTACACTCGTTTGAATTAAAGTTTATGCCAATTTATGAGTTATTTTCGCGCCACTTGCTATTTTTTTATTATGATACATAAGTTCAAATTGTTAAGTAAGTAGTTTTCTGACTTTCAAAGTGTAAGATGAATTTTTTTAAAATTTCTTTTCTGAGAATATGGAATGACAGCAAACATGTAGTATTACAATGGTTCAAAATCACGGAAGTTATTCAAATATTCAATCTATTTTATTCAATATACCAGTTTAGATACTATCAAACTTTAGAAATGGTAAACTTCTCATAAAATGAGTAACATGTTCCTAAAGCTATGGTGTTTTCTGAAAACTTAATAAAAAGGAATAAAAAAAAACGAAACATTTAATGGCTTGACAGCAGTAGCTTGTTCCATTCTGGTAATGGTATGTTCCAGTAATACTATTAAATAGTAGGTGGTTGACTGTAGATACTTGCGGTTAAAGTCATAACTATTAACTGAAATGACCTGTCATAAAAGTAGCATAGAAATACAAGACGAAGAAGAGTTTAACAAAGAAGTCAACTGTTGTTTCTTTAGTTAACTAAAACATTGTTTCAACTCAACTACAGACTGAAAAGAAATATATCTGATAAGATCATGATTAACTTTCAAGAAATTTCTTGTTGTCTTAAAAATTTCTCTTTACTTGATTTTTTCTTTTTCACATTTCTTTCTAAAATGTTAAATTATTCCAAATGTAAAATTTCCTTCATATTACTCTATTTATACTACTTAAATACACATATTTGCATCAACTTGTGGAAAAAGGTTTTTGTTAAACACGTTTGATGATAAATATTCCGTATTATGATGAAACTAATTTGTAACAATTCCATCGGTTTGGTTTTCTTTCCATTGATAAAATTAGTCTAATTCTATCAATTTTATCATTAATTTATTTTTTCTAAAACCGAAGGGCTTGGGACAATTTAGTGATGAGCAATATTTGTACGGCAGTAGAAATTTTTTACATGGAATTGTTCCTTATTATTATTTCCATAAAAGTACTGAACAAGTTTTTGGAATTTACACTAGATAGCAGCACAATAACATTTATCTTAGATGGAAATCATAGTTATTTTTTGCCAAATTAAGCTCTTAAAAGTCATCGCCTAGACAATTTGAAAATATGGTTTTAACTACGCCAAACCCTTTAGTTGTGTCAAACAGGCGTGAAATTGACTTAAATAGCTCGAAAACGCAAAATTTGAATATTGCAGTGCAAGTTAAGTTATTCTGAAATGCAAAATTTTCCTTATCCCCAATAGAAAAAAGAATTCCTAAACCATGTTTTTTTCTTAAGATTTTTAGAAGCTTGAATCTGTAAATATTTTTTTCTTCCAGCAATAGCAATCTTCATTATTCTCCCTCTTTTTATATATAGAATTTTATTTCTTTTGCACCGAATGGCAATTTATACACCAGACTTAGACTTTCTCCAGTAAAAAGAAATATTAAAATTCCCTTTAGCACATAAAAAAAAATCTTTGCATATTTTTCTTGCTTACATTTATTTTAAAGAAATAGAAATTCCTCTTGAGTAAAAGTCTTTTCTTTATAAGTTTAGAAAAAAAAATGATACAAGAAGAATAAAGAACATAGGTCAAAGATCAGGCATGAATTTTCTGCCAGTCGATGCACAAGACAAAGCTTCTAGTCACATACGAATTTTTAATATTCATCGGAGTTTAGTTATTTATGTTGGTTCTGAAAAATATATAAATATTAAATTATTGATTAAAATTACATATTTAACATGCTAAACTATGAAGATTTCAATCTAGGTAAATCATTTGCCACTTAATGGAAATATATAATCAGCTCCTTTTAATGAGTTTATATTTTTGAAATAGCAATTATGCATGATTTTTAGTTTCTTTAAAATTTTTATGTTTTAAATTTCATTTATGAATTAATTTTTTATTTTAAGAAGTAATGCAGTTAATATGGCCCACAATACGCGTGAAAGTTGATTAGTATATAACTTTTAATTTTACAAGTGGACCTATAATTTTTATACACACTGTAAAATTGCAATAATCATACCGTAAATACCACCCTTAAATGTTAATTTGATATATATTTTCCCTTGCAAGAGCGAAATATTGCAAGGTTGAGAATAACATTTATAGTTATTAACTAATGTGCCATGTTTCATTATTTAAACAAAAATAATAATCAAGTTTATATATAAAACGTACATGGCAGTATAAAAATTAAAGAACAATATTCAACAAAAATTATTTGATTGAGTAGTCTCCTTTCAACTATTAAAAAAAGTAATTGATCAAAATTTTTTTTTAATCAATTCCAAAATAGTTAGATTAAAGTTTGAAAAATGTAACTTGACTTTTTGCTTTATGAATTATGTCAGAAAAGTTAATAATTATTAACACAATATTTAAAATTGAATTGTTAATGATTTGTTACATCTTTAAAATTTGATGAAACTCAAGAAAGGTTTACCTTTGCAAAATGGCACACTTGAAGACCACTGTCCAGTATCCAGACATTGAATTGTGTCATTCCCTCTAAGACCATAGCCAACTGGACATGAAAACTTTGCTCTTGATCCGATTGTATTTCCAGTTACATTTATTGTAAGATTTTCCTTAGTTACGTTTGTTAAATCTGGACAACCTGTGACTGAAAGTTAAGAAAAAAAAGTTACTTTATTTACAAGGAAGAATCTATTCGTCCCAAAAATATTTGCAATGAAGCAAGAGTCTTTTTTAAAATAATATTTCAGACAAAAATAATATTGTCACTATGCATACTTTAAAATAGATTTCCAATTTAAATTTTTTTGCTATAAAATACAGTTAACTCTTAATTATCAACCGTATTTATTTCTTCCTTTTTTAAATAATCTGTAAATGGTGCAGAAATTTCGGCGAGGGTAACCTTATTAGATGGATTTAATGAATCCATTGAAATATCATAAGGTTTAAAATTCGAGGAAAGTCAGGAAAAACGAAAGGATAAGACAAAGAAGCCAGTAATCCATGGCACAGCTCAATCCACATTGCAGACATAATTTCTCACTATTTGAAGAGGGGGACAATGCATAACTTTGCTACAAAAATTATTGCAGAAACCTCAATTGCAAGTCATAAAAAGGTATTTAAAAGTGAAGGAAAAAACAGATGGCACACATATACATTTATAAAAAAATGAACATATAAATTAAACATATAGGTACATCAGTTGTAAAAAAAATGAAATACTTAATTTGCGAAGAAAATTCGCATTTAAGTATGTTAAAAATTCTAAAGCCATAGATTATCAACAGTAGCTTCACTCTTTCCCTTATGACTTTTTAGCCGCTTTCGATTTTGATTGGATGTCACCGATCACTAGGGTAAACTGTCGCCATTTTGTTGACTAGTTCGAATGGTAAAGTATTGCACTCGATCTGTTATTTCTATTTTCGCTTTTATTTTTATTTCATTTGTTTCATATTTTTAAACTTATGACAAGTTTTTGCTCATTTGGGTGTTCTAATAGGTCAAAATTAGGCTTTAAATTATGTCTCTTACCTGTTGGGAATAGCAGTAAAGAACGGCGGAAAATGTGGTTACATAAAATTGGGAGATATAAGTGAACTCCAAATGATACTAAGTACGATAAAATATAACATTATTTTGTTATGAGAAAATACTAAAAGAAATGGTCCCGTTTTATTTTTAATTGCTCATTGTTTTGTTTGCTTATGTGGAATTATGCCTTTTTAGTTTTAAAGAAATGTCTATATCGAAAATTTGAATTGCTATGTTGTATTTCATAAAAGAATAATGTGTGTATTTCAATAAACTAACGGTTATGGCAAATTTTTTCCTCATTTAAGATATCATAACCTATTTGAGATGTTATAATCATAATTAAGATATCATAAGGCGTGCCATAACTTGATCTCGTATTCAGGGCTTTAAGTAATTATTCTTCTGACGGAAAAAAATATTTTACTTCCTCCATATTCCTCCAAACAGAAATATACATCTAGAATTTCCTTATTTTTTCAGTAACTAATTAATATTTGTAAATAATTTTTATTTCATTTTATTTTTTGAAGTATGCCCTATCGAACTTAATTACTGAATTTTAAATTTTAAGATTGTAAATTCGATTCGAAATAGAAGTTTTGGAAAATCGTATAACCTTAAAATTTGAAATTTGTTAATTGAGTTCAATAGACCGCATTTCAATGAATAAAATGAAACAAAAATTACTCAAAAATATTTATTAGTCACTGATAAAAATTAACTCTCCGTAGGTTAATAAGAAGGAAGTAAAATTATTTTTCTGTCAGTAGGGGATCGTTATTGTAAATAATAATCCATAAGAATCTAAAAAATTTCCCAGAAAATATTTTCGTATTTTTAAATATTTTTTTGGGTTACTTTATGGATTATCCAATGAATTAGCTTATCCACTTTTTCTCTCGTACGCCTTTTATCCGAATATCAAAGAGCAAGTTCAGACGAATTATCAAAATTAAATTTGCTCAACTGCAATCAGTTATAAAACTGTTGCTACGAAACATTTGTTAGACGAAGTTATTCTGAGATACAATTGAAAAATATTATCCACATCTCATCTTTTGTGACGGCGGATGTCTTTTTTTTAAAAACTTGATCTGTTAGAGAAAGTCAACAATAATTAAAACTTGTTTATGTAATTCATAGTGTGGATTAGAAGAATCTAATGAAAAGTGGACTAAGTGAAAAATTAAAAGTTGAAATATCTGGAGGTATATTAATGCTTTCAAATCACAAAGATACACTTAGTCTGAATAAAGGTTGAGAACACGTGAATTGAAATTGGAATCTAAATCTCATAGGTTTCATCACAAGTTCAGAATAAAAAGATATCCAAATAAATACGAGCATGTGCTTAGCTTGCGTGGTTTTGATGTCCTTGTTATAGTTACCTTGACAAATTGGTTCATCCGCTGACCAGTTACCAGAGGGCAAGCAAGTTGCTTGATCCATTCCTATCAGTGTTTGTCCATCTCGACATGAAAAAACGACTTTGGTGTCCAGCTGTGTACTTGGATTGCTCACATGGAGACCAGGAGTTTGAGGAAATTCAGGGCAATGCACGGCTGAAATTTAAAGACAGAAATATTATAAAATAAATTAATTATTAATTAAAATAAATTATATTTTCTTACTGAAATATTATTACAGTTTTGATTTTTCAGAAAAGAAAATATAGAAACTAAAAAGAAAACTTTTTTTAAAATAAAACGTTGAATGAATTTCGGTAGAGTAAAATAAAAGAAGCAATTGAGAATGCTATAAATCTTAGCTTTAAATTACGGCATGACGAGGAATAGTGCTCAATCGCACCAGTGTAAAATTTCAAAAGAAGAAATAAATCAGCAAAATTATTAGAATTTGTTTACGGAAGGAAGCAGCAAAGGGAAAATTCTTGCTGGCAATCATCTAACAAAGTATTTAAATACTCACAAACCACTATTGCAAATCATTTTTCAATTGGCATTTCGAATTATATTGAAGAGCTGCATCCATTATCTACGGTTATCTTCGTATGGCAATAAATGTATTCTGTTGAATACTATGTGTATTATTGCGCCATTAACTTGTGACAGATCTTATATTGTCTGTATGAATATTAGTTTGTTTTATAATGATCTTATATGGTCAAGGTAATGGTGATGCTTATAAAGTACGCCTTTTCTTGTCCATCAAATCATCATTTCGAGGCCAAATGCAATCGCATATGTAAGTAGCGATGTTTATGTTGCTAATAAAGTATTTTCCCCTTTCACCATCCGATGATATTATACTTTATTCTGACTTTTTTGTAAAAATTATGTTTCCGAGAGGTACAGTTTTCAGACATTTTTTTAATGCATTTAAAACCAAGGGCCCTGGCTGCGTAGAATTAGGGTGGTTTTGATAGGACACCCTATACAGGTATAACATTAAAATTTCACATCATCTTGGGACTTATCTATAATTTTAGGTTCAAGCACAAGTTGAAATGGTGAATTAGTATATTTTAGTTAAAAATGCATAGAACAGTACCAGCTACTACGATATCCACTGAGTGTCTATGGCCCATGGGAGTTATGCAAGTAAAGCGTCCCGAATCGTCCTTCTGGGCATGATAAATGGACAGTCGGTACTCCAGTTGAGGATCACGCCCTGCCTCGTTCGTCCACCCTGAAAGAAAAGGATAGACATTAAAGAAAGTAGAATTACGAATGTTTTTTTTTAAATATAAAGAAATACCACACAGTATTATCAATGTATAATAAAAAGCACTCCAGCAACAACCAATTGTTTGGCTGGAGGAAATGGTGGAGGTTAAGGCTCTTCAAGCTGGCCACAGCCTGGCAACGTGGTTTTCATTGAGCACAATTTCCCCCATCGTTTCCCACGCCAGCTGGTACTCACCAATCTGAAGTTGCGTAAGCTTCAAGCAACCATTGCAGTTTGAACTCCAATCCCTTACAATGACAGCTTAGAGACTTTATCCATAACATATGGAAAGTTTTCGTGAAACAGGTATTGGATCATAAATTAAAATCACACATGCGAAATATTTTTAAGGAATGCATTCCATGTTGCCAGGTTTGACCCTCAATCTCAACCCCTGGGTTTGGGTAATTTTAAAATCTTAAATTATAATCTCAATTTTTATTGCACGTCTGGATTTTCCAGAAAAATAACAAAATTTGAATTACACGTCTGTGCATTTTGGTTTGCAGGTAGTGCTGCAATTTATAAATGAAAACTGAACAAAAGTTATTTAAAATGACGAAATCGCAAAAACTACGTGGAAAGTTGAAAATAATGATCGTGTTTAATATGAAAAACTTAACAAATCACACCAAAGACTTTTCTCTAGACTGCAGACAAAGAATCACACCAAAGACTAAAAAAATGGTTTCGTTTCAGCTGAGCGTCGCGTGTGCAAGCGGCTGCATGTGTGTAAGGGTTGCATAAGCAGCTGAGCGTGGTGATAAAAACATCTTTTTTAGAAACGTGAGCCAATTTTTATTTTTGAAAAATAAAATTATTTTTATGAATTCAAATTCTTTAACCGGAAATAATTAGAATTGAAGATAGTTTACTATGAAACTATTGAACAACTATTCAAGACACTATCTAAAATATTTCATAAAAAGAAAAAACAAAAAACCTCGTTAAATCTTTGTGGAAAAATAATGGCATAAAAATTTAACTGTAAATAATCGAATCATATAACCTGCAATGCATGAATTCCAAAATCTCTTACCATCTACAGCTTCTCATAATATGTACATACATTCTTGACTTAAGGCATTTTAATTAATTAATGTTTTCTATAAATAGCGTTAATAATATTGAATTGCAAGTCTTTGATACCAAAATTGTCTGGGTAAGCTAACGTCTTGAGAGTTTTCTCAAGTGGATTATCAACTAATTGGTTAGTTATGAAATTCCCCTCCCTAGCTGAGTTCTAATTAGGCGCAACGAAAACTGAACCATCATTGGTAATCAACTTGATTTCTCTGAAGACGGAGTAACCGAAAGTATTCTAGAAACTTAAATACATTTTTCACATTCGCAGACTTTGTACAAAAGTGTTAGAATAGTTATAGTTAGTTTACATATGTAATACTAAAGTTAGTTATTAGTCTAATAAGTTAGAAACTAAGTCTAATAAGTTAATAGTATAATAAGTTAGAAATGATCGAAGACGCATAATCTTCGATATTTCTGTGAAGAATATTATTTTTAGGAAAAATGCATAAAAATAAATTGATATAATTCCCATTTTAAATTAGTTTAGTTTTTTAAATATGTAGAGACTAAACAAAATTACATGATATAGTAACGGTTAAATCTGCTCCGCGAATTAAAAAAAAAGACGTCTTAATTTAAAAACGGATGGATGTCACCACAACTTTCTTCTTGGGCTTCTCAGCAATGTCAGATGATTTTATAAATCAATTAAAGAAAAACAGAAGGAAATAGAAAGGTTCTTTAAGCTGCTTTATTCTGCTTAAGAAACCAGTCAATTTTTCTCCCTATGTTTCAGAATTAATCACAAAGTTTGTCAAAAAGTGGCTCTGTAGTCTAGAAAAAATTTTCAAACATTATTTTATACAGCATGTCAGGCCATTTCACCTTTAAAGATATTTGAGCTTGTAAATGTTAATTTTGTTCGCAGACTGTACCACATTGTTTTCGCAAAATAGCATCTATTTTGAAATCATTTTTTGGAATTTTTCATAGTTAACAATGCCATCACCAATAATAAAATTAAGCTAATTTTTATTATTGATGAAAGTAATTTGTTGGTTATCTAACGCAAAATCTAATTCAATATGGTTATCTAATGCAATGTTTCAAAACGTTGCAAACTGCACATTTAAGTCTCTATTCATTTTTCTTTAATTGACTTTTAAATTTTGGATAATTTTTAGCACTCTCATAATATCATTACATGACATCTTACATGACATGCTAAACATGACAACAAATTAGGTACGCAAAAAAAGTTTTCAAAATACGTTATCAAGATTTCTTTTTCTGTTATTTTTGCTTCAGTTTAAAAAAAACTACATTTGTAAGTAAAAATTTTTCAAAAATGTTTTATTGATTTTTGAAATATCAAAGAAATGCTCCATAAGTAGAATTAAACTATGTTATTCAAAGTTAAAATGTTTCAAAAATGCTTTATTGCTTTTTGAAATATCATAGAAATGCTCCACAAGTAGAATTAAACTATGTTATTCAAAGTTAAAATGCTTCAAAAATGCTTTGAAATATCACAGAAATGCTCCACAAGTAGAATTAAATTATGTTATTCAAAGCTAAAATATTTAAAAAAATACTTTTTTTCCTTCGAAAATATATATAGAAGTATATATTTTCGAATTATAGAAGTATGTCACTCGAAATATCATAGAAATGCTCCACAAGTAGAATTAAACTATGTTATTCAAAGTTAAAATGTTCCAATAATGCTTTATTTTTTTAAAATATCATAGAAATGCTCCACAAGTAGAATTAAACTATGTTATTCAAAGCTAAAATATTTAAAAAATACTTTTTTTTCCTTCGAAATATTATAGAAGTATGTCACAAAAGGAATTAAACTATGCATAGCACTATGTATATATTATACACTATAGCATTATACACACTATAGAATAGCACTATGTATATATATATAGCACAATGTATTAAACCATGAATATATTATTTTTTGAGATAAAAATGCTATTATTACTCAAACACTAATGGGAATTTCAGTGCAGAAATTTTAGATTTTATTCCTTACCTTCTGGATATTTCCTGTAAGAGTGACTAACTTGCCAGTGTGGAATACCATACTTTCTGATCCATAAACATTCCAGGTGAAGAATAGTTCCAGGATAGACAATAAGTTTCCCTTCATTGCTTTGAGCTATAGGACCGAGTTGATGTCTAAACAGAATAGTTGGCGGCTTTTCCACTAAATATTCAAAGATAGTATCATTAGTTAAACTTTTGTAAGACCTCATGTATAATATATATTATTAAGAGTGATATTCCTACATTTGCAACGGTAATAGTTTATTTACTTACTCGTAATGAAACTTTTTAATGCAAATTTTTCTTTTAAATTTGTGTCCTTGAATTTTTCTAAATTCAGTGAAATAAAGAAATATGGATGCTCAGTTTTAAGTATTTCATCGAAAAGTCGACGTTAGTGAAGAACTTTGTGAAATAAAAAAATAAAAAAGATTTTGGAGATTAATTTTGTGATAAAATTAAGAATTTCTCATATCTGAGCAGACAGAACCACGCAGTTTTTTTATTCGATAAAAAGCCGTGAAAAACAAAAACTTATTGACGAAAAGAGAAAACTGTATGCCAATTTACTACAACCTTAAACTGGCATCAAATCGGATCTTTCAAATAAAAACATATTAAACTAGTTTAAATAATACTATTTTTCTAATTGATCCCTACATAAAATTTTTATGCAGATCGATAAAATATTCCAAAACCACAAGAAAAAATTATAATATTAAAGCAAATAGATTTTTTTATTAAAAAAAACGTCTGTTAATGAAAACATCTATTTTTATGTGTCTACTTCATTGATCAAACATTTGTTTTGATTTAAAAAATATTTTTCAAGGTATTTAATTTAATAATATTGTCCCAATTACACTGAAATTTTACAATTACTCCTTTATCTAAATCTTTTCATCCAATTATTTTTTAAGCCTTTTATTTACTCTTAATTACATGACAGTTTCTATGCATGATTTTCAAATGATTTTTTTAAATTTAAAAGTAAAGTATAATGAATATTATTTTTGTCTTTCTGAATTTTACTTCTTTTTTGGAAAAGAATTTTAACTTTTTATCTTCTTTTTAGCTATCAGGAGTCATTGAACCGTCTGTCTAGTTTTAAGTGTTCTGTGGGTGTAAACGCCTCTCTATGCTCTTTTTTTTGAAAGAGTATGTCATTTGAAATCAACGTTTACGACTTTTTTCATGACACCGCGGATGGAAGGAGATAATTTCTCTTTATTCATTTGTTCTGAGGGTTCACTTAACAACTCTTATGCCTCAGTTTCTTAAACTTTCTACTTCTTAAAACTTAATTGAATATCGTCTGTTTGTTCTCGGAATTTTAATTTATTGGACCTTTTTACTTTCTGCGCCACTTCTTTTTCTAGCATCGACTCTTATGAGTGCTCTCTGACCTTCCCTCTTCCTTCTAAATGAAGATTTTGTTCTGTATCGAAGAATTTTTTTTTCTTCTAGCATTCTTTTATATTTGTTGTTGTTATTGCCTTCCGCCATTAAGGCAGAGGGGGTGCGATTGTTCTTGTTTTCCAGTGGCGCCATCTATGGCCAATAATTCGACTTCTACCACACCCGTTTTATAGGGCGGACCCATTCACACATTCATTCATTTATCCACAGATCATAATTTCGACCTGAGCCAGAGAACGATCAATCTCCATTTCAGTACGCCTAGAGATGTACATTTTCTATGGAAACATGGAGGACTTTGTGACCCGACAAATTTAACGTGCATCAGTCACCATTTACATCACGGAGAGTCTTCGGGCGGCTGGATTCGAACTCCTATTCTCCCAAACTATCCCGGCCCCTTCTTTATATTTAAAGTATTAATACTGAATCCTTTAATCTAAGTATTAATTTTTTTTCAAAAAATATATAAATGAGTAGCAATTGTTGCAGTAAGTTAAATGTTGCTAATATCTATTTCTAAAAATTGCATTTATTCAATCTTTCTCTTATTTTTCTACCATTTTATTACGCAAAACTGACACTTTTATGAAAATTTAAACTTTTCCCTTCTTCACCCATTTTTCTAAAAACCGACATAAATCGCTAATTAATTGTTTTGTGCTGTATTATGATATTTTCCTAATTTTTTTTGTGCTGTATCTATACGTAAGAAAATTTATGGAATGATTCTGCTACAAAATAGAATAAAAAGAATATTGTTGTGACCTAAAATGGTATAATTTGTATTCCAATATTTATTGTGAGTGATTTAATCAATTTTATTTAGTCACACAATTGGAAAGCTTTAATATTATCTTTCATTTAATGATTAAGGTTGGTCATTTTATCATAACTCATTAATTTATAATTTTTGTTAGTTGTTTCTACCTTATTATAAAGTTCCGTGATATCAATTAATCCACTGTAAGCCCCGCATACTTTGACAGCTGAGCTTATTGTGTTATTGCGTTACACATATGTCATGTTCTACTGCATTTATTAAACGATTACGCTAGTCTGTATTTTATTATTTTTTTAGGTTCTGTTTTCGGCATTAATTTATTTGCTTACTTTTTTATTTTCAGATTGAATTTGTTCATCTCTTTCAATGACTGGCAACGACAATTAAACGTCGTAATATCAATCATATGCTTAATAATAAATAACGCTTTTATCGTGTAATCCCATTCCATGTTTTGGTGCTTGTGTAATTAATTTATGCTTTCATTCATTCATTCAAATATAAATATCTTCTATTTCGATACAAACTACTTCATCATCAAATAATGATTCTAATTATGTTTTAATTTTAAAAACTATAAGAGATATATATTTATATTAGGTAGGTTGGTTCAATTTTCAATTCACGTTTAATGCTGTTATAAAAACACTCATTCTCAGTACTATAGGTTGGTACGCTAAATAGGCTTTTACCTTCGCCATCTTGGATATTAAGTTATATATTTGATTTTCATTTCCAAGATATTTTTTTGTTTTGTTGATAATTTAGTATCTTCAGTAGTATATCTTTAAAAAAAGTGGTAAATAAAGAGATCGTGTTATAAGATAAAATGTAATAACTCTAGATAGTTTTTAAAACTCTTAGGGATGTTTCCTCAAAACTATAGAACCTGTAAAAACTTCATAAAATTTAATTTTATTACCGTTTAAATTGATTTGGATTCTGTTAAAAAATTAGTAAAATGTAAATTGCAGAAAAACAAAGATATTTACCTAAAATTTCAAAATATAAAAATCTATATCTATTTAACTACTTATTAAAAACAGCCGATTACAGATCTTAATTGGTATAATTTCGTCAAAAAAATTAAAAGAGAGCATAAATACTGCACAGTTTATATCTCAAAGTGTGGTGGGGGGTGACGGCTTTGTATTTTACATCTATCGAAAGATCTGCTGATAAAAGTAAATATCCTTATCGGTTTTATTTTATTTAATAACCGTCGTTGAACAGAACTCGATTTCGGGTTTACGGCTACTAACGTTCAACTCCGTAGCCTTGTCCTTTTGAACCAATCCAGAACACAAAGGAATTCCTGGATCAAATATTGTGAGAAATTTGTCTACGTGGAGGAATTTTCAATTTAACTAACCCGCATTTGTGTGACACGGAGAAGAAAACCTCGAAAACCTCCCACGGTTAGCCTGACGGCAAGGGAATTCTAACCTATGATTCGCCTTCCACTGAGGATATTTTGCGTCAGCACTGTGGTTAGTGCGAGCTGGGTGCGGAATTCATATCGACCAGCCATCGCTGGGATTCCAACTCGTTTCACCTCATAGGAAGGCGAACTCTGTATTCCCTGAGCCGACACGGCTCCATCCTTATCAGTTTGTGAATATTAAATAAAGAGTTTCCCATTTCATCTGAAACCTTCCGACAGTTGAGTTCGATCGGCTCCCTGACAATGTGACCCCCTGACTTAAGAGCCCCCTGACAATGTGACATAGAATCGGATTCTAGGAAAATGCATAACTTTAAAATTGTCCGAAACTATAATACAGTCAAATTCCGCTATAGTGAACACGGTTTATAGTGAACTCCCGGATATAGTGAACGAAATGTTCGGTCCCGAGCCTTGCTATACACGTATAATGCTAGTTTTTGCGGATATAGTGAACTAAAAAAAGTGAGGAAGTTGGATATTATGAACTTTTTTCTGTCTTCGACTGATTTTTTAAAAATAATTTTGAAATGTCTGCTTCCCAATAAATACTTATACTGATATTTGAAACCATCTATTAAGCATTTTTTCTTGTTTGCCTCTTTTATCTCACTTTTACATCCCTAAACAAAGGCCCACCCAGGTAGATGTATGGACAAATTATCCCTGCATCAGTCAAAGATTACAAATTTTTTTTTTGTACACAAGACGAAGAGTAATAAAAAATAAAAGCAAGTTGACACATTTTTTGCAACTACGTATTATTTTTCAGTCATTATTGGTCATTTATTTAAATAATGTATAATAAAAAGGAGTTCGGAATCTTTAGTTAAAATTGTTTGCGGAGAGGATATAGTGAACTCCCGGTTATAGTGAACCGAAATTTCGGTCCCTTGAAGGTACACTATAGCGGGGTTTGACTGTAGATATTTTTAAAAATTCTGACTACTGAGAAATTCCAACAACTCAAAATCTTTATTATTTATTTAATTTTTCTGTATTTAGGTTTACCAACATTTCGGTATAAATCCGCGTTTTGAAGAGTTTCTCTGAAAAAAGGTTGATGAAAAATTAATTAGAGATAGAAAAATATAAAAATAAAGAGAAGGAAAACACGGTTTTCAAGTAGTAGTTGGAAGAGGAGAAAATGATTTTTTCTTAATAGGTATTTCTTTGTCCCTCCTCACTAAAAAAAAAAAAATAAAGTAAAAAAAAAGGGGAAAAAACGCGTGTGGAATTTTAGTAGGTGATATAAGTTAATTGTGAAAATCTCACGACGCATTTCGTTTCAGCTGTGACAAAAATGAAATTATTTTCTCTTTTTAAATCTACTTGAAGAACGCGGTAATTAAAAATTTGTAGTTAATTTAATTTTTCTTTCTTTTTAGTTTTGTGTCTGTTAGATTGTTTATGCTGGAAAATAGTCAAAATTTCTCTTGACACTAAACTTTGCCAATAGAATTGAAGAAACAAGTGTAATCCATTCCGAAAACATAGTTTCAGTTGAAAACTGAGCATTCTATCTAGTCGAAAAACAGTCAAAATGTTTATTAACTATAAATTCTATTTGGTTATTAAATGACAATAAATTCTTTTTCTAAGGAAATAATTAAAGCATGCATTGTCCTCTCGTATACACGTGCTCTGCGATGAGTAAAAGAGTATGGTTAAAACTACCAGAATATGGTAACGTTTCAAGTGTTTCTGGCTCTATGGGAACATCAAAATCTGAGTAATTTTCACCGAAGTGATTTTGTATCAATTTTGGTAAAATTAACAATGAAATATGGTTTTATAATATGTGATAAAGTTTGGTAAACGTGGTAAAATTTGGTAATTTTATCATGATATCTTAGAGGGAAAAGGATTGATTCTGCTAAATTTGCATCTCAGTATTGTAATTTTTGTGAAGTAATAAGATTTATAAGTTTGAAAACCATATTTTCCGGTAAACAGTTACCATATGAACGGAAAAAATTATAAATGAAAGAATTAATACAGCATATATTGCTTTTATTAACTAGAATTATGGTTTTTTGTACCGGAAAAGTCATTACCAAACAGTACGGTAATTTTACCAGAATTTTTTTTTCCGTGTAGCTTGTTGAAAAGTAGCCAAGATTTTACCCTCTTGCATACGACCATGCGATTGTAAGTCAATAAACACGTGAAAAATAAAATGTATGCAATAAGCAACAAATAGCTAATAATGGATAAGATAAATGAATGTCATAAAAATAACATCGCGTTTTGAAAAGTGAACACTTTGACATTAGCGCCACACTAAACATCATCCATGAAAATAAGAACAGAATTTTTTTAAAAGCTGAACCAGTTACTATTCATTTAAATGTTATTAAAAGTAACGAAACAAAGGAGGTAACCTATCATCCAAAAATGAAATAGAAAATTTTTTAATCTTTGAAAGTTCATCCCATCATCAAGAGTTGTGGGTCTCTTTATTCAGTCTTCCACTGATAATAGGCAATTAACTTTTCCCAAAAGGAACTCTTTCACAAAAGAATTCGACATTTTAACTATCTTTATTTTTTTTTTATCGGCTAAAAGTGATTTTCTGAAGAATGGAATGGAATAGTTTCGGCTACTCTTTGATAGTTCATTTTAGTGCCATTTTCGTTAATGAAGGTAATTTAAGCGTGTGTCTTCTGCAGTTCCAGACGATCTGACTCAAATGTACTTAAAATATTAGTTTTCTTTTTATCAAAATATCCTTTAGTTTTTGTTCTAAGATTAGATTTCTATAATAAAATTGTTCCTTTTTTCTTTTTAAGATGATTAACTATTAATTTAGAGATTATACTGCATTTTATTTTATAAGTGATACTCTTTTTATGTATGGAAATGCTGGCTGACACTTTTTCATGCGTGATAGTTAAATCATTCGAGAAAAATCTTTTGATCTTTAATTTTGCTGTTTTTTAAATGTATTACTGATTTTATCCAAAATTGAAAAATCATAATTAACGAAGAGAAAAATTGAAACGACTGGAAATTAATTTAAATATTTACAATCAAAGGAGCATAAGCCATGGTGCCTCAAGAGCTAGAGCATTTCTCTCACTGAGGTGGCACAGGTTCGAATCCCTGCGGTGACTTGCTGATACGAATTCTGCTTCCGGTTCACACCGAACACAGAGCTTACGTAAAATATCCTCAGTGGTATAAGGATCATGGGTTAGAACTCTCTTGATACCGTGGATGGGTTTCTTTGTTTTCTTCGCCATGTAACGCAAATGTGGATTAGTTCCTTCAAAAATTCCTCCGCGAGAGCTAGTTTGTCTCGATACTTGATCCAGGTGTTCCCTTGCTTTCTGCGTTGGGTCCAAACATACAGACTACGGAGTGAACATTAATAATTGTAAACTCAGAATCGGGTGGGATGCTTAATGCCGGATAGTAAAATAAAATATAATCCTAGTGAAACGAATTATTTAATCACCAACTAGTTTTCGTTTAATATTGTAACTCTAATATAATTAAATAGTAGTATTAAACAGTTGTATAAAGATATCGTGCCATAGAGATGTCTATGGTAGCCTCACTTCACTTACATGTCTACTGAAAATTTATCAATGATCAATTAGAATACTATTAACCAATAGCGACTAATGGGAATACGCTTCATTCCAATGTTAAATAGCATAACCATCTGGTTGCCACTAACAACCACAATATTAAAGCAATTGATTGAATGATAATCGTCACGTGATATAATTTAGCATCTGGCTTGGGTATCTCCATATTCTAATTTAATTATGCTTATTAATTTACACAGGTTAGATAATACATTAGAAGCATATTTTAATTTCAATAATATTTAATAAGCTGTTGAGGCAGCCAAGGCCTGCAAAGGGCTGTTGCGCTCCTGAAGAAGAATATTTAATAATTTTTTAACCGTCGTTAAACAGCAGACGCAATTCGGAGTTCACTATTACTGATGTTCAACTCTTGCAATGGGGTAATTTTCTAAACCTTGTAACTTGAAGCACAATCCAGAAGACAAGAGAACTCCTAAATTAAATATGGGGAGAAATTTGCCTTCGTGGAGGACTTTTTGATGGAACTAACCCACATTTGTGTCACACGGAGAAGAAAATTACAAAAACCTCCCACGGTTAGTTAGGCGACAAGAGGAGTCTAACCCATTCATTTTGAGTTATGAACTACGGATGCCCCTTTTTTTTGTCTGCCGGCATTTATGGCATGTTGCTGATTTTGTGAAAGATGATTTTGATATGCGTGACACGTTTTCCCAACTCAAGTAGTTAATTAATAATAGCGGGAGTATTTTATTGGTTTCGTTAAGTTTCAAGTGCAAGTAATTTTATAGCTAAAGTGGAATTTTTTTCGAACCTTGTACAATAGCTAACATAATTTTTTGTGTTCGTGCACAGAGAATTTTTTTTTTGGTAAAATTACCGTACTGTATGGGGATGACATTTATGACCAAAAAAATAATGTTGGTAATAAAAACAAAACTAAACGATATTTGAACCATTAATTTCGACATTTTCGCTCTCATACGATAACGGTTAACCGAAAATTCTGATTTTCGAAATTGTAGTTTTTATTATCACGCATTTAGTAGAAAATACAAAACTAAAAAGTGAATTTAACTGAACAAATAGTTTGTATGCCATGCCCTTTGACATATCATGAGGAAATTTCCAAATTTTACCTCATTTTCCAAATTGTATCGCTTATTAAAAAATTATATTTTATTGTAAATTTTAATAAAATCATTACCAAAGCTCTTCGGTAAAAATTACAGAGATTTTTGGTGATCCCATAAAGCCTGAAACATGGTAAGAATTACCAAGAACAAGCCTTGGCAATTTTCTTGCAGCTTGAGTTTGCCAAACTGGTTCTTTTTACCCTATATAAAATGTATCACTTTAAAAAAAGAGCAAGAGCTATCATAAGCAATGTTCTCATTAGTGCACTCACAAGCATAATCATTCTCTTGAGAGAGTCCATAACAGGAGGGTTTGACACCATCCCAATCTCCATGGATACATCTTCTTCTGACACTGCCTATCAAGCTGTACTTTCCAATGTCCTTGCAACGAAAAACAAGCTCTGTATGGGGAGGATGTTCAGTCTCTTCATCCTCAATCAGTTCATCACCCAAGAAGGCAACAAGGTTTGGTTCCGTATTAAGGAAGACACATGATTTGTTACGGCGATCCTCGTCTGGGGGAGGCTCCGGCTCATTTTCTGCAAGGAAGACATTTGCTATTTGATGTTTTATATTAAGGTAACAAAATAATCAATGAGTTATTCCACAGAGTAGGGAAAATATCATTATACTACATATTTTTTTTGATGAATTTTTAGCTATTTGCATTAGAATTAAGATATTTCAGACATAGATAAATATTTACAAAGAAATTTTTGGTGAATATATTAATTATTTTTTTAATGAATTTTTAACAGGACATTTCAGATATAGATAAATATTTACAAATTAATTTTTTGGTGAATATATGCATTAATTTCATGCGTCCCGGATGGGATAAAACTATAGAATCGACACAATAGTCTTTGAAATATTATATACCCTCTGATTGAGCTGCCATCCATGGCACAATATATATCATTCGTTTTTCAATTTCTCTCTTCATTTCAAAATGATGGGTGTTTAAAATTTTCGAACAAAATTGCGTGGCAAGATTTTTATAATTTGTTCTTGATATGTTTCTCTTATTTTAGTTAAAAAACTTGGGGTGATATAAAGATAAGCAACGCTTTTAAAATTGCGTGAAACCGCCCTTTCAGGGAAAAATAGCACGATTTCCTTGCTAACTAGTTGATGCGTTTGTGTATTGTGGTGCCATCTAGTCGAAACTTTGGAAATGTATTAAGTAGATATTTATGAGGAAACAATAATAAGGATACACATTTCAAAAAATTATTCAGAATAGAAAAATGGAGCCAAATGCCAGCAACCACTTTTGGGGAAGCATTTGTTCGCAATGTAGTAAAATATTACTGATATTTTTGAGAAAGTTTGTTACTAGCTTTTAAAGAAATATTCTAAATATTTTATTTGATCATAAAGTATTCAGAATTGATAGTTTAAGGAGATTAGACAAAATACAAAATATCCATTTCCTGCTTCGTATGTAAATCCACTATAAACAATAACTGCGCGTGATATAATAATTTCTCACAGTTACAGAAAGCATAAAACTCCTTTCTTAAAAAAATGAAATAAAATGCATTGAAAAGTTTAACAAAAGTAAACTTACGAATTTTTATTATAAAATATGTGAAAATATATTATTTTACCTACCACATTTGTATGCACCACCAACCCAATTGCCATCTTCGCAAACGATTTTCCACGTAGTTTTCTCCCCATAGATCCCTCTTATGCAATTGAAACGAACTTCTGTGTTGTGAGAATACCATCGAGTTTGACCATTTGGCTCTTCTAAGTTATCTGGCACATCAGAGAGTGCTTTGGGCGTTCCTGAACTTCTACCTCCTTTATGTGTAGGGTAGAGTAAAGTATTCTGTTGTCGTTCTGGTGGTCCACATGGGCGAAACTCTGAGTTCATATCTATTGAACCTTCAATAATACTGTTTGGTGGAATTCGATATCGAATATCAGTTTCTTGCACGTCGTCTGCTAGGGAAAAAAAGCAAGTAAATTTAATTTTTTTTATCATTTGATGTAAAGGAATGAGGCATTATTTTCTACCAAAATTAAGCAATAATCTGAAAATGCTTTAACAGTTAGAGTAAAATACTTTTGATATAATATACGCTATGTAAAACTTGAAGCAAAACTGTTTTTTATAGATAATATTTCACTGAATTAGAATATTTTTTTACACATATGTTGTTGAAAACGATTTTTTAAAATTTTAATTGATATAAGCTATACCTTTCTTTAAAATCATGGTTCAATAGCTATGAAACAGCTATATGCGTTGACCATATAACTATATACCCCATAATTCTAATACTACAAACGATTTACCTCATGAAATGTAGATTAATAAGCAACTTGTTGCTAGTGAAAAAGTATTCTTGATATGCAGGATGTTCCGAAGGACCACACTTAATTACTTTTAGAATCTTTGTCATAAAGGAAGTGAAAAAGCATACTTAATGGGGGTCAAAAAATAGATATTTAAGTGAGGAAAAAAAAACGCGATCAGAGGGAAAATAATTATTATAAACGAGTGATTATTTTGCAGTAAAATTAAATTTTGATTAAATAAGGCTATAAGCTATCGGTAGTTAAAGCTATTATCTTTTTAATAAACGATACAATTCTTAATGGTGATTCTGTGAGAAAATTCTTTTTTCACACTCACCTTATGAACCGTTTGGAGTAGAATATTATAATATCCTTGTATTTTAAACTATTAGTGGGCCAAATTTCATTGTATTCGGGTAACAGATAGTACGGAATAAACACTCAGACAGTTTAGTTCATAGATTAAGAGGAAACGTTTAAAAAAACTTTTTCAAACTATTATTTATTTATGTTCACGTTATACTTATATTTTCCTCATTTTCCTATTTTTCTTAGGTATAAATAAAGGAAATTTAAAAACACACATGTTTTTAGTTCGTATTTTATAACTTGAATGTTTACTCACAGCCTAATGACACTCATTCGAGTTTAGTTATTTAATCTGAGATTAGTTTCAAATTAAGTTGAATAACAATGTTTTGAACGTAACATTTAGAATTGAACTATAACACAAACGTATATTAGCAAACATAATTATATCATATAAAGCAACGGAAAAGTAAAAACATAATTTTTAAACATACAATGTGTCCTAAATTAGACTAATGGTTTTTAAAATGTGAAACTAAAAAATTGTTTCAGTTAAAAAAACAATTCCTTCGGCAAATTCACGCGAGAGGACATACATTTTTTATTCCAGAGTTTATGATATTCATTCAAATGTTTTCCGACAGATGGCGTTGAAAGTCCTTTCTATCGTTTTTCCTTGGGATTTCATGCATTTAAAATTCAGCCTTCGTACACGATATCTCATTTGTGACTGAATGGAAACATTTTGAAAATATTGTGTTGTGATTTTCATTCATTGATGGATTTCGTAACATTGTGATGGGATTTTTCTTGTTTTTCTTCAATTTCAATCATCCGTGTTTAGAGTCTTTGATTCGTGCCATCTGTCGCAAAGTTTTTGAACTAAAAACAGGAACTCCTAGACAAAAATTCATGCTCCTACATATGAATTTTCTAGAATTTTTTTTAACTTTATCGGTTTTTTTCTGTCAAATTTTTTTACAAACTATTAGTCTAATTCAGGAAGAAAGACGAAGAATTATATACATCTATTACTTTACTTTATAAATAAGATTATTATACAAGCATTTTAACTTTCACAGCGTCAGGATTAAATTATCAAGGTCTAAAAAACTGTCTGAAGTATTTAAATATGCGAACTTCGATATTCAACAGAAACTGATCAACGTATTTATGTCGTTTAAGTCAAAGAAGCATGAAAAACATATTTCATAAATATATTTATCTCTACTCCTATATACTATTTCGCTATTAATATAATTATTCTCTTTACATTTACATCTTCTCAGCGTCAGAAATATTTCGAAGTACGCATTTAAGTTTTCAGGAAGTGAAAGTTAAAATGTGAAGAGAGCACGCATTATAATCTCTAAACTAATTTAACTAAGATTTCAACTTTGGTGATTTAATTTGATAAGTTTGCTTGAGAGAAAGTTTTAAGGCATAATATTAGAAAGACATTCCAACATATTTCAGATGCAATATTCAACTTGAATGGTTCGGACTCGTATAACTCAGATAATATGCCGAGCAAACAGCGAGACGAATTGCGAGAATTCTTCATTTTGTACTTTTGAATGACTGCCTAAAATTTCTGATTTCAGCAATTCGTTTACTTCGTTTTCTCAGGCTCTTTTCATTTCAATTACTGGTGAAAGAGAGAGGTATTAGTTATTTAGAAGTGAACTTTTCACGATAGAATTAAGTTAATTCAACAGAATTTAAATGTTCCTCTTTCATCTTTAAATAACATATGGCAATATGTACTTAGTTTTATACTTCATATATCGTGTCTTACGGTTTTAAAGCGAGAATCAATCCACTTCTACTTCTTCTTTACGCTATTTCGATAAAAATTATTTGCTTGCCATTGTTTTAAAACTTTTAAATTCTTTTTATTTGCAATTTTAAAAGGATTTTTTTTTAAAATTTATTTACGCACTTTTAAATGTTTCAATAGACAAAAAATGGCAAAAATAAATGATAGGACTCGAAACATAGCAAATTATTCATTTTGTTTATTCATCATTTGTATTATTTTTGCTACAGTTAACGTTTCTTGCTATGATTAAATAAATAAAACTTGAAAATTTCTTTTATATGGAAATATTTAGTGAGAATTTAAACTTTAATTTCAATAACCAAATATGGAGTCTCTGAAAATATTGAGACTTCTTAAAATACTGAACCTCTTAAGATTTTGAACCTCTTAAAATATTGCACCTCTTAAAATGCTGAATCTCTTAAGATATTGAACCTCTTAAAATATGGAATCTCTTGAAATTTTGAATGTCTTAAAATATTGGACCTGTTAAAAATATTAAACCTGTTAAAATATTTAACCTCTTAAAATATTGAACCAGTTTAAATATTGAACCTCTTAAAGTTTTAAACCTGTTCTCACTCTGTTATGTAAATACTGCACGAACTGAGGAAGGATTGTAACCGGAAAATATTTAAATTTCTTTCAGTTTTAGAAAATTTGTTATTTCTTAAACGAAGTTACATATCTATAGACGAAAACAGAGAAAAAAGTTACATACATGCCTAAAGTTACAATAATCGCTCTCTTGAACAAACTGCTGGTTTAGTAATTTCATAAATGAAATTTTTTTTATTTCGATTGAAATTCGTCTTAAAAAGAACAAATAAACAATCTGATTCTTTTTTAAAAAGCTGACAAATTAAATCTAAAAAATATGACTTTGTATAAATTTGTCTTTATCAAATGAAGCATTTTAAAGATGGAGCATGTACCCATCGAAAGTGATAGTATGTAAACTTGTAACAATAAAATGCATAGTTAAATTACATAAATTTATATAAAATTCCGTGCTTTTTATAATTTAATTAATTTGATTTAAACTAAGGAAATAATGAACTTTTAATTTATTTATTTATGAGTTTAAGCAGCCCAGAGAAGATCCATCAGTTGCGATTTTCCAATACAGCGGCCTTTAATGACCCAATTCCCTATTTAGCATTTTTTTAAAATAATAATACTAATAAAAAGAACGTGATTCTTGACTTTTTCACTAGAATGGAGATTTTAAAAGAAATTAAATCTTGTATTATAATTGGAACTAACTACTGCCAAAAGGAAAATCTCCAAAAAAGAGAGCTAGCTGTTAAAGGCCACTGGATTGTAAATTAGCTGCCCGGTTCACCTTCCCTATGGTAAAAACCCTGATTTCAAAGCACTTTCTGCAACAAGCTGTCTGCGTAAAACAATCTCCACCACAAAAAGTAATGCTCCACTATAGAAATGTGTTATCATTAAAATAAAAATATATCAGTATATTCGTTTGGCACCAATTTTCTATTTTTATTAGTTATCATCGTTACTATGTTTCATTAAGAAAAGATGTAAGAAATGTAAGCATGGTTCTCAATAATTAGTTTAATTCATTTATTAACGTTAGGTGCTTACGAATTTATATTTCAATTTTTATACTAATAAAAAATTTCCATATCAAGACGCTTTGAATTTCATGGATTTAAATTACGTATACTCTAAAAAATAAACTACATCTCAAATTTTAAATTATTCAGAAATAAGTTTTTTGAAACATGGAGTAGGAAAATGAAAAGAACTTATTCTGCAGTTGTGGAGAAAAAGTTGGAAAATATTAGAACATTAAACAGAAATGAAGAAAAATGTGCTCTGGTTACACCTTTGCAAGAATTTTACGATAAAAGTGTGAAAGTTCTCAGTGAATATATTTTTCTGTAAACTTAACTAAAAGAAAAGTGTGAATGTTACCTACGTTACATTGACTCTTGAGAAATTTATGTTTGAGTTTCAACCAAAAATGTTGTTAGAGGTCGCTCTCAGATCATTATCAAAACTATTTCAACCGTGAATAAAGTTTAACGATTTCCGTTGAAGAAGTTTAGCTTTTTTTTCCTGTGAGCTAATGTATCGTATGAGAAAAAAATGTTTTTAAACCAGAATATCAGGTAAATGATCGCGTATTCGAGAAAGCTTTTAAGCTCTCGTTTAACTTTAAACAAACGATCTCGTTTTCGAAGGCGCAATACTCTTGTTAAACTGGACTTAGAAATAAATATATCTCATTCCTACATCTGGCAACTTAGATTAAAAGATGGTTGTCATAGAAACGGAGATGGTAAACCGCGGTGGCTGATGGGATGCAGCAGGTGAACCTGACCGCGCAGAAAATTTGCTTCTCTGATGTATAAGTCTCTATTTTCCTTAAATATTTTAATAATTGAAGTCATTCCACCTCCGTAATATGTAAT